GCCCCGGCCACGCTCCGCGGTGCCTTCGCGCTGCTGTGCCTTCGCGTGGGGGCTCCTCAGCGCCCGGCCTGGAAACCATCCCAAACCGGAGCTTTTCTCGAGGAATGGATTTTAGTTTTCCTTTTTTTCTGGTCTGTAGAGTGGTGGGGCTCCTGTGCTCCCCAGGCACTGCTGAGCGCTCTCCTCCTTTTCCTCCTTCTCTTCCTCCTTCTTCTCTTCCTCCTCTTTTTCCTCCTCCTCCTCGCCTGCCATCCGGTTCTTCCTGTTTAATTTAACTTGGGGTTCATTTGGGTTAAATTTTTTTTTTTTTTTTAAGGACTTTATCAGCACTAGAAGTTTTCAGTAAATGTAGCTCTACTGTTCTGCTCAGACCCTTTCCAAGAACTGTGAACTGGTTTTACAGTAGGAAACTGGTGGACTTTTCTTGCAACCATTTTTTTAACTTCCCTTTTTTTCCAGCCTGAGGAGTATTTGACTTCATTTTGGTGTGGGATCAGCCCTCAGCAGGAAGGGAAATGTTTTTGTTAGGGAAAAGCAGTTACTGACACACACTGGCAATAAGGATACAAACGTTTTTATTTTTTTTTCCCTTTTCTATTTTTTATTACTACAGCAATGTCAAGGGATCAGTTGCATTATGTTTTATATTTAAGATAATTAGCAGAATTAAATCTAACCGTGGCCTACGGGAACCGTGGACTAGAGAAGTGTGCAGCAATAAGGAATTGCTGATGTGGACAGAAGCGGGGGCAGAATCAAAATCCTGTCAGCTGTGTCTTCCCTTGGAGCACCTACCAGGATGTAGATTATTAAATGAGCAATATTTAAAATACTTTTGTGTTGCTTTGTTGTTGGGGAGGGGGTTGATGACAGGGCCAGGGCCATGACAGGGTTAATTGCAGGAAACTGGGCCTGAGCTGTGGAGCAGAGAGAGGCAGTAAATCAGTAAATATGTGAGTAAATATATTAGTATATTCACATAAATATATATAGAGTCCTCTCTATGTATCTATGGTTCTGCATGTGCCTATATATATATATATACACACACATGTATATATATGCATTTTTGCATATTTTATGTACCTATACTGTTATGCACTCTATATAAAATGTAATATGTAAGAGATAATTATATTTTATATATAATTATATTATTATAGATATATGATAGGTAATCTAGGTAATTTATAATATATATTAGTATGTACTATATACATGTTGCATATATATATGTATTTTATATATATATATGTATTAGATATATATCTATCTATCTATCTATCTATCTAGATAGATAGATAGATAGATAGATAGATAGATAGATTATAGGCTGCTGTATATGATTCATATGGGTGATAAGACTGAAGATTCAGAGCTCAGCATAAGGTGACACAGCTGCCTTGTGTTTGGGTGGTGACTTGTGAGGGTCCTTGTCATGTTCAGTCAACATTTACATCCCATCCCTTGTTACCCTCAGGCCCAATTACAATCAAACTTCATAAAAGCCACAGTAAAACCCAGGGCTTTTCATCTCTGTGACTGCCAAGGGGCTGTGAAGCAGTTAACAAGAATTACGAGTGGCTGTATCTCAGGTAAACACATTTATAAGGTATTTCATTATTTATTTTAGTTACGAAGCAGCTTCCTGAGGGTGCACATCACCAAAGTGCCTGCACAGGTTTTGGGTTTATGGCAGTGACCAGCTCGTGGCATGGCCAAAGGGCAGTGCCAGAAGGGCTCAGGGCGAGGTGAGCTCTGATCTGCAGCTGCCCAGAGCTTTATTCCCTGCTTTATTCCTGCTTTATTCCCTGCTTTATTCCTGCTTTATTCCCTGCTTTATTCCTGCTTTATTCCTGCTTTATTCCTGCTTTATTCCTGCTTTATTCCCTGCTTTATTCCCTGCTTTATTCCCTGCTTTATTCCCTGCTTTATTCCTGCTTTATTCCCTGCTTTATTCCCTGCTCCGCCTTTCCGTGAGCCCTGCCAGGGGTGGCACAGCAGTGACAGGGCCAGCTCCCTGCTGAGTTTCGTTTCTTTCAGAGCCCTTTTCTCTCAAGGAAGTGCTTTCTGCAGTAGCTCAGGGTCTATTTATAGACAGTGATAAAGATATATTTGCTGGGAGACTGACGTCACCCAGCCACTCACACCATCACATTTCATCCCGGAAATATTGATTAACCAGGAATGCAAACTTTTAAACTCTCACTACCCTAAGTCTAGCCACAGTGCTACTTAAAGGATTTGTTATATTTAAAGAACTTAGAAATAAAATGTGGCTTTGAGATTGATGCTAAATGGAACTTTTAAGTAAATCACACTGATTTACTTAAAACCATCCAGGCCAGCATAATCAAAAGTCTCAAAAAGTAGTAGCACAAATAAAAATAAGCTTTATAAACCACTTGAAATGTAGTCTAAGTTAATTTTTGTACCAAAAAAAAATTCTTACTGTCCAGTCTAATTTTTTTTTCTTCAGTCCTATACTTTTTTTGGAAAAGTGTATGCTATTTGTAGCTGACAAAAATATCAGAATGACAAACTGTGTGTCTGGAAAGGTTTATTTTGAGATCCCATCAAGACATCCTGTTGTGCAGGATCCAATTTGCTAATGACTTTTAAATACCATTATTGTGGCTATGGACAGAGGAAGATATTTCACTCCACGTGCTCCTGAGAACAAATTTTACTCAGCGCCCGTAAGAGAAGCAGTGGAAAATAACCAAGTTGTGAAATAATCCACCTTCTGCTCCCGTCCACCGAGGTGAGTAAAGTGGATTTTATTTTTTCTCGATGCAGCTTTCAAGCAGGCTGTTACCACAGCCCTCTTCTGTAGCCAAACCTCCAGTGGCCACAGGTTAGTTTGAACACCAGCACACAGAGCAGCTGCAGCTCAGCAACAGAGAGCAAAGCTGGCAAAACACAGGTGGCAGATCACTGGGGCAAAAAGTGCATTGAAATGAAGCACACGAGTAGAAAACAGGCTGGTGCAGGCTCTAGGAAGTCAGGTACAGAAACCAAACCACAAAACTTCTGCAGAAGTTTTTAAGAGCCCTTGAAGCCACAAAAAGCAGCCGCTTCTTTACGAGAAAAGTTATTTTTCTGCTGTGCCCAACCAGGCATGAATTAGATGAGTTTGGGCAGCAGAGTATTTAGGGATGGTATTTCCTGAATGACCCACTCAGGAAAATGACTGGGGTAACCCAGAAGCACCAGCTAATCAAGTAATTTAAGAAATGCTTCATGGAAGTTTTAACTTGCTTCGTGCAAGTTTAAATAAAAACAAAAAAAATGCAAAGCTGATCTGGATTCCCCTCATACCATGTGAGACAACACACCCCAGGCCAAAAGGTATTTCCAGCATTTTCTCCTCAGCCAGGTGGTCTCATTCCAGTGCTGAGAACTGGAGCCACTTTGCCACCTCCCATCTTCTGTGACTGGCTCCCTTCAGGAATAACAAACCCCTCAGAAATTAGCTCATCCTTAGCAGTGGTTGGTAGAATAATGTGCAGTTTTAAGTGCACGTAGCAAGGTGTGAGATTATGTGGTGAGAAGGAAACATTTTTAGCTTTGAAGGAAAAAATAATTCCTACTCATCACCTACAAGAGTGCAGAAAAAGCACCTTTGAGCGGTTTGGAAATAATAAGCAGTATTTAAAAAACAGCTTTTAGCTTACAGCAGGATCCAGGGTCTGCACTGGCACATCTCCCAGCCTCAGCAGCCTGGATTTGTCCTGCAGGTAGGGGGAAAATGGGGAGTGAGGCTGAGAGCCCAGCACAGGCTGCCAGGGACAGCCTCAGCAGGGCACCTCCAGAACTTCAGTGGAGACCCAACATCTCCCAAAAACCCTCAAGCAGCACGCCCAGTTCCTGGTGACCGAGTCAGAGAGGGGAAGAGGCAAAGCTGTAAAAGCCTGGCATGGGGGATGTTAATGTACAACTCAGGGCACTCAAATTACAGCAGCAAGGTTGAGGGAAGGACCTGCACAGCCTCCCAAGCCACCTCCAGGGAAGGGACAAGCCAAGGCCACACGGACACTGCAGCGTGTCCCCAACACAACACAACCTTTTATTGTGGCATTTTGCTTTTGTTTCCAACACCCAAGTGCCACCCGAGTCCCCTCTCTGGCAAGGTCTGGCCCTAGCAGGTGACAGCTCCTTTGCACTGGGAACAATCCCAGCCAGACCACAGGGAAGGGCCAGCAGAGCCCCGGGGCTGGAACAGGCACAGCTGGGATCCCACCACTCTTCAGGCCACAAAACAGCAAATTCTTGAAGAGCTGAGCTGAGGAGCTGCAGCTTTTACATAACACCTTCCCCTGCCCTCGCCCACCTGCACTGAGTCAGCACAGCAGCTTTTCCTCATCTGCACTTTCCCTTTTCTGCAGAAGGTTATCCAATCTCTGCAGCCACCACAAAGGAATCAAGAAACAATTAAAAAAAGGGAATTTCTTCCCTGATCACTTATTCCCCATTAGGATTTCTATTTTGCATCACTGCTAAAGTGACAGATATCACAGAAAATTACATCAGGTCTTTTCTGCCCTCTGACTCATATTCCTAAATAACTCTGGTTGACTCATTTCTCCTGACTGGCTGATAGCTAAGATTTTCCTCTCTTTAAAAAAAGGCTTTCTCCCTTCAGCCTTTCCAGGTGATTCGGAACATTCCCACTCGTTAATTATAGGGAATTAGAAAAGCAAAGGGGTTTTACCTGACTGACAGCCCACCTACCTCATTGCCCTGATTACAACACGTGAAATCCTCTGTGAGCAAACCCATCCTATATTAACTGTACAAAATGGACTCGTTATATCCAGTCACTAAAAACACAGCCAACAGATTTACTATGAATAATTAAAGCATTTTGCAAATGTTATGTTCTACATCCACCTACAACTGTATTTAGGTTGCTACAGAAAAAAAGCACCATTAGGGTTGAAAATCATTAATATATCATTAATATCAATCAGCACCATAAATGAATGGAGCCACAAGGGGACAGGACACCAAGAGATATGCTGTTTTATTTAAAATCAGAACACAGTAGATAACAGAAAGACTTTTTATGCAAACAACTCCACTGGATGTTTCACAATTTGCTCGACCTATAAAATGCCCCTTATTAAGAGTCCGGGATCACACAGAGGAACTGTTCAGGCACAGGATGACTCTGCCCCCTCTGAGCTCCACGGGAGGGCAAGAGAATCAGTCTGAGCTCTGTGATTCCAGTTTGAGAGGGCAGAGAAGTCCCAGGAGAGGTGGAGCCCGAGGCTGTGGAGGTGGGGGCAGAAATGGGGATGGTGACCTCGACCAGGCAGTGCCCAGGTGCCTCCTGGCATCCCAGGGCAGCTCCTGTTCCCTCCTGCAGGACCGAGGTGACCTGTCTGGAGCAGCTGTGCTGGAACAACCGACTCCACCTTCTCTGGGAGGCAGCCCTGAGTGCAGGGAGACCCAGGCAGGAGCCACAACTGCTCCCTGCAGTCCCAGCTCCAAGTCCCAACTCACAAAACTGCACACAAAAGACTGGCACAAATAATGCTGCCCAAAGAGAGCATTTCCAATGCTACCAACACTCTAAAGCCGTGTTACACATTGTATTTAAAGGATTTTTCTCCACTCCAATTGCTTTGGGGAAGTATATGCTATTTGTAGCAGACATCAAAAATCCTTTTTTTAATATATATATATATTTTTTTTTTGGCAAGCATCGTGATCCACCCCCTCTCAAGTCTCAGCTTGCCTATGGCATTTTAATCTATCTTATAAACAGTGCAAATTAGTACAATTCTAAACATCCTAGCCAGAGCAGAATTAATTTATTAGCTATAACAGAACAGGAGAAGCTGTTGAAGGGCAACAGGTTGAAAGCACTGACACAGCTCTTGCCAGGTTAGTGTTTCATCAAGTTTGTTGCTGAAAGGATTAAACAGCTTTCCACAGTCATTCTTCTCCTTTACCCTTGAACATCACCAGCAGTCAAGTAAATATTTACAGTTTGTGTGCACACACACACACAAAATTAATGGCAAAACATTTTCCATGAGCAGCTGGACTTCAGTTATGAGCTTGCAATAACTGAAACATCACATTAGTCACATCAGCTATGTTCAAACTTACCCATCAGTGAAGGCAACTATAAGCTTACAAATAGCAGATACAACTGTTTTTTCTGAAGTATGAGGGTTAGTTTTTAGTAAAAGTCAGTGCTCTTGAAGAGCCCTTAAATTAGAGTTAAGCAATGGCCATTCAAATGATAAAAATGCTAATATCCTAGAATTACAATCACAAGTAGTGATCCTAAGGCACATCAGCCACATGCATATGCAATAATGCATTGTTTTGCTTTCAGACAAAAAAATTGCATTAGCTTTGTCTGTATTTAGTGTGCACAAGAGGTTGTTTTTAGATAAAGTATCCCTGAAAGGTCATTGTTATCACAAAAGTTACCAAAAGACAGAAGATTTAACAAGTAGTAAAAATATTTTTGGACTACTAATACCAATAAAGTCTGATACATAAAATGCAGTGCAAATTCACTATACACTTATCTATCACCCCTATCACTTCTGAGGATTTCCAACTCTCAGAAAAAAAGTTGGCACTTGATAAGTGTAAAATAGACCTGGTTATTTTAATGTAATCTTAGTAAAACTGATTTAGGAGTGTTTTAGAGTTTTTGTGTAGCAGGCTCAAAGTATGAATTTCTGTACTCGGACACCACCCTGGTAGCCCCCACCCACTTTAATTCTTTCTAGGACACAAACCATTTCTACAGCAGACTCATGTTTAGCATCCAGATACAACAGCTGCCACCCAAATACCAGCACTAACAGCACAGCAAAGTTACTTTGAAACGAGTCATAATTAACCATGCTTGTACAAAGCTTCAGTGAGAAAATAATACCAAGAAAAGATATCACACTGTTAAAAAAAAAAAAACAACCACATCCTGTACCACCACTAGATTACAGAAAAAACACACTTTGCAAACAAATCCAATGCACATTGCTTCACAAAACGCCCCATCTATAAATACTTGCCAGACTTCCACTGGGGAATTGGTTCAGATGCCAGTAACACTGATCAACCTTCTGCCCTTTGTCTGCAGAAGGCAAACCAAGCCAAATGACCATATTCATATTTTCAGAATCAAGAGCTTCCTGTTATGAGCTTAATTTCAGATTCGTGTTTGCTAACCATCACACTCCAGAGGAAATGATTAAGGGACAATCCAGGACTTACATAAAAAAAAATAGATATTCTATTCTGACTGATGTTTGTAGTACAAACTTCCAAACAATGTAGTGCATTCCAGCACAATGATACCAAAATAACTGAAATAACCAGGGGCTTTGACAGCTACTGATTGATAACAAATTCACAGACACATTCTGTGCAAACAACTAGTGTTAAAATTTGCCTCCCCCAGTGCTGGATTAAAATACCAGCATGTGTCTGCACCTTAGGCTTCAAGAGTCACATTGAGAGTGAAATCTGAGCTGCCCTAAAAAGCCTCTCCCATCCAGAGGCAGAAGTTAAGAACAGATTCTGTAAGATGCAAACAGCCACCATGGACTTCAAAAGGCTTTTCTTTTTTGTCTATTTGCAGAGAAACATTAACTGCCAACTCCAGATAGATAAACATGCCCCAAACTGTAAAACTAAACTAAATGGGAAAGTTAAAAGTAGCTCTGTAAAGTGAGAGACGGAGTTAAGGGATAAAATTAAATTGTGGAAATTCAAGTGGGCAATTACATGTGAAAATCCAGTATTTGATTAAGAAAATACCCTGCCTAGATTCCTGGAATCACATGGTAGCAAAAGCTAAGCACCTGTGTAAAAAAATCATTTCTGTATTCAAGGTATGGAAAAGGAGAGAAAAACCAACCATTAGAAAGAGTCTTAACAGGCAAGGAAATAAAACTGCCTGGTAAAGTGTCTATAAAACCCTAAACTGGCTCTACAAACAGTTTAGTTGCATTTCAAGAGACCAGGACTTTGAGGGTACCAAGCTATTTAGGAGTGGGAGTAGTGCCTACTTTGATTACACACTAAGGTAACAACTGAAATGCAGAAATGAAACTCTTGTCCTTTTCCCTGCCTAAACCCCCCAAGGTGTTCTGACAGGAGTTTCAGCTCAGTGAGCTCTGAAAACGCCGTGCACCTGGCCCTGGATGCAAAAGGATGCTGAGGGGGGTCCTGTGCACACCCCTTGCCCGGCAGTCAGATATGGTTGTTACCATCCCAGCATTGTCACAGAATTCCTCAGAGGGACAACCAGCTCCCCGTGTGCCACACGTACATCCAGCTGCCATGGGAATACATCAGAACAGAGGAGGATGCTGATTTACCATCACTGAGGAATTCAGAGCGTGACTCGGTTTGTAACGTCAGCAAATCCACTGCGAGTGCCTTCCCAATTTGATGGATTTACAGAATTTAGACCTTCCTAGGAAAACCTTGTCACCACTGACCTTTGCAAACAAACATCACATTTAGCAAAGCAACTGCAAACCTCTGTGCCACAGCTCGGCCTTTGTGCTCCATTGTGCAAAGAACAGAGGCTTCCCATTGCCTACAGCAAGTCTCTGATGGGGGGAAAAGGAAATATAAGCACCAATACATAAGTCAGGCGCACCCAAATATTTACTGGAGGATGAAGCCAGGGTGTGGTGGAAGGCGAGGTGGTCTTTGGGGCAGAGGTGGAGGATAGGGGGGCACAAACTGAGCTGGGTATCCCGGCTGTGCCGCTTGACTCGTGGGCTGAGCTGCTCCCGGCCGGGGCGGGAGAGGAGGGTACGGAGCACCTGGGTAGGAGGGAGCTGGTCCTGAGCTCACGGCCGCGGTGAAGGGAGTGGGGAAGCGTCCAGCCGGGCCTGAGGGAGGCGGCGGGGGCGGGATCCGCCGCGGCACCACCGAGGGAGGAGGGTTGGCATCCGCCCTGTAGGGATCGGCGGGGGCTGCCGCGGGCTCGGCTGCCCTCGGCTGCGGCGGCGCCTGAACCTGAGCGAGTCTCTGTCCCTTCAGCACCATTTCCTGCAGCTTCTCGATCTTCACCCGGCGCAGGTGAGCCAGTTTCCTCTTGCTCTGGTACTCGTCGATGAAGGAATCCAGGGGTATTTCACCATCAAGGAACCTTTCTGCCATATTCTGTCAAATGCAGAACATTCTCTTAGGAAACAGCCTACTGCAACAGAATCTAAATGGCTCACATCCCAAAAATAGCAGCATTTTGCCTGTGATTTTCCAGCTGGCATATGGAAGATGACTGGCATACTGAAGAATTCTGAGCAGAACTTTGAGTTGGTTATTACTCAGAAGCACTGAGAGTTAAATATCACTCTTGCATAAATTTATACTGAAGTAACAGCAGTAAAAACATCTGAATCTCACTCTGAGCGTTCCCCTGATCACCAGAGATGGGAACGAACCGAGTCCAGCAGCTTCCCAGATTGCCAGCTAAGCTAATTACAGCTCAGTGATGCTGGAATGCCAACAGAAACACTGAGAACTCTGTGAGACTCAGCACAGAGATTATTGCTAAGTCAGGCTTAAGACTCACCCTTATTTGTGTCTTTGGGTAAATGATGTTTAATGACTGAGAGCTGAACAAACATAAAATCACAAAATTCAGCTTGCCCTGGGAATGTCTTTTTACAATCACAACTCAAGGTTAATAAGCAAGTTTTTTTCTCCTGATTAATTACAGAAAATGCCTGCATGCAAATCAGCAAACAAAACCAAATACTCCCATTATTCTGAAGTCACACCACCCTTCAAGCACTTGTGTCTCAGCAAGTGGTGACCACTGGCACCTGCACAGACACACTGAAATCACAGGGGAATATTTCACCAGAGACACTGGAGGAAAAGCAGCACAGGCACGGTTTTCTTTAATTAGGCTACTAATTGACATTTATTATGAAGCAATACATGTACCAGGCAAATCCCATTGCAAAAAGACTCCACGTTTTTAAACTCTACACGTTTGAAGGCAAAGCCAAGGAACTAAGAGGGTTTGCCTATCTTTTCTAAAAAAGAGTACTTTCTCTCTTGAACTCAATGATGTTAAGGGTAAAATATTACTCAGATAAAAAAGAAATTAAATTGCTGGAATCAAATAGCTGTTGCCTGAAGTTCAAAGCAGAGACAAGACCATATCCTTAAAACTACTCTTAATCTGTCACATGCTCTAATCAGCACTGCAGCCATGGACAATGGAAGGTTCTGGTGATGGGTGGAAGTGGCAGAATTTGGGTTTTGTGTTATTACCTCTGTGTCTTCCTCAATCTTCGCCCCCTCAGTCTGCAGCAGTGCCAGCAGGGTCTCCAGGGAAGCATTACTGGATTGTCTGTCTGCAAAGGCACAGGAAGGACAGAAAATGACAGCTGGCTCTAAGTGACTTGGAACTGCACAACAACCTCCAAAACACATCTGCACAACCAGCAGACCCTGCAGTACCCTACACAGGGTGATGCACAGTAAGAAATACATTAACAAGTTCAGGAATATTGTCAGAGTGCTAAGAGTTGAAATTTAATTCCAATTATGTATTGGAATTAAATATTGAAATATAAATTCAATATAATATTGAAAGCACTTCAGCAAGTGCAGTATCAGATGTACACTATAATTCAGTATGAAAGTTAAATGTAATATTCCATTTGATTTATAAATAGTCACTGGAAATTCAAAGTGTTTGCTCTTTAGCAAGGTAAATGAAGTTGACAATGTAGAGAAGAGTAGGTCAAGAATAGGTAGGTAACAGGAAGAACCCACAGTATCTGTTACTAGATGTGACAGTCACTTAATAAATCATCAGAAGTGTGATCTATTTCAGCACTACACAAGAACGACATTTCACTTTGTACCCTAATTCACACAGCTAAAAATGAGATGCCAAAAACCAAACAACAAACAGGCAACAGATTTACATTCACTTAAAAAACAGCAAATCATAATTGTCAACAGCCAGTGTTACCTAGTTTTGTTTTCTTTATCTGGTATGCTTCAAAAAGAACTTGCAGCTCTTGGTATTTCTCAGTTAAATTTGATTTTAGAGACTCCAACTTTGGCTGGTACAGGAGATTTCCCTCTGCCAGACTGCGGTTGCTGGCAAGAGTCATGTCCTTGCTGTGCTGAACATTTTGGGCCTAGACATAAATAAAAAAAAAACCAAAAAAAAGTGTGTGAAATGACAGTGAAATCATTAAGCAATAAATGAGACATTGAAATGAGACTGATTCTGTGAAAACTTTTAAATAAATAACAAAAGTATGCAAGAATTAGTGCTGTGAAAAATGTGATTAATATGACCTGCCTACATCTAAAGCAGACATCCTGTCCCTTGCATCTGATATCTAATAATTATGGACTAGACAAATCTTTAGCAAAAGTCTTAAAAATACTTGTTTTAAACTGAAGAAGTTAAGGTATTTGTAATTGTACTGTAAATTACAGTACTTGAAATGACACAGGACTTAATGACTAAACTTTCTCCATACTAAAGCACTTCAGAGAAGGACGTATTTTTTCTAACAGAAATTGATCAAAAATGGTAATTGACACTTAATGATGAATGCAAATATCACTTCAAGAGTGACAAGCAAGAGTTTCCAGCAATGGTCTGTGTCAAATTTCTTTTAACAATGCACACTTGTAGAGATGAGAAACTTGAATCTCATCCAAAGCCATGAGAAGAACCAGTTCCTCAGATACAAAGCAAACATAGGAATGATGTTTAATGAAACTTAAGGAGGAGCTGGTGAAGACCCAGCCACTTGTTTCAGGACATTGAAACATTTCATGTCACTGTAAGAATTTTGAAGTCTTTGAATTCTATTTCACAAATAGATAGAATCTCAGAGTGATGCAACTTGAATACAGTCACAATCTATAAACCAGAATAATCTCTGTCACTGATGTTAAGGTCTGTGTAAAATCCTTACAGCAACTGTTCCACTACAACTGGAAGTTAATTTGAGGAATCAGAAAGCAAACACTGTAAACTTTGCCTAAAGTGTGCTGTAGAAAAGCTTTCTAAAAATGAGTAATTTAAAACTACCAAAAAACCAGCTGCAAAATCATCCAAGGGTCAAAGGCACGGCCCAGCATGAGCAGTCTATGAAGATTATCAGTGCAGCACAAAGCATGCTTTCAGCATCCATCCACAGCTTTCCACAAGCCCAAGACAAAGGCTGAGGGAGGAATAAATCCAACAAAAGGTATTTTGTTGTCACATGTGACAAAAGTGTGCATTAGCAGGGAACTGCTCCTGCACTGGTTGTTCGCCTGCCCACTGGAAGTGCAAGGAAAAAAAGTTATTTAGAGATAAAAGTCAGGAGCATGGGAGTCCAGCAGAATTCCTAACAAGACTCTTGAGGTCATGAGCACTTCAACAGGCAGGAAACTGTAGAACTGTTAATCTGAAACCAGATGAAAATACCAGTCAGAATCACGAGACACAGTGAGACAGGACAATATTAAGGAGAATATATCACTTTTTTTTTTTTTAACTGCTAAGCTCTCACTATGACTTCTGAATGGGACAAACAGGGCAACCCTACTGAGCTGCTTATAAGGGGATTTTCATGGTACAAGGATTGCTCACTCCTGAGCAGGCCACTCAACACCAAACTGTGCTGCAAGAAAATGAAGCCATGGACACACAGAGGTTATTAAAACCAAAAGCTATGGTTTATGCAGCACTTCAAAATTTCAGCTGCTTAAAAAATGAATTTCTTTAATGTACATAATTTGAATAACTTTACTCAAGGATTTATTTAATAAGCATTTCCAAGAACAGGAAGCAGAACTGCTTTGGGAATTTAGAGCCTACTACTTTTATGAACTGCAGCTTTGTTTCATCCCACTTTTAAAAAAGGGAGAAAAAAAAGCTGGATAAAATTAAACCAGCACTAGTACTAGCTTAGCAACATTCATACTATAAATGTTGATCCCTTATTCCAAAATAATGGTTTGCAGCAAGAGTTATTTGTGTAAGATGTCTCTGAGAAGCGTCAGCCTGGCTCATCCAAAAGCACATTTCCAGAGGAGCTGCCTCCTGAGACACTGAGCAATCCTGACTACCCACAAAGTCCATCAAGAGCTGCTCTAATTATAAACTTGCTCTGGCCAGCACCACAGAGAGGAGTCTCTCGGTACCTTTGAGAAAAAGTCTCTTAAGGAGCTATAAATAAAAAGCAGCTTTGTGTGGCACCGTTTTAATTGCTTTATACATACAACACATCCATGGTAGTTTTAGATTTCTCCAGCCTCTATCATTCCCACATTCTCTTTCACTTACACATACTTGTAAATTAAGAAAATATGCAGTCACACTGTGGAAGTATAAAGATACACATTTGGAGTGTCAAATTAACCCCTGAAACAGGAGCTGACAGGTGCAGAGTAGGAGAAGGGACTTCTTTTACAGAAGATTTAGGAGTGCTTTTCATCAAGGACTCGTGAATAATAATACACCCCCTAAGAACATCTGTTCTGTAATAAATATTAAAACATACTGCAAAGTAATTAGATTGGCTAAATTTAGCTCTTTTGATTACTTGAAAATGACAAAAATAAAGCTTAGAAGGTAAGCTGCAGTTCCTAGACATTTCTTGCAGTGGCAAGACACTCAGCACTGCAATTTGCACTCATCAGACACAGACGGGTTACTCATTTGATGCTCAGCTAGAAGAGAAAAATCTGTAGTTGTCACCAAGTCTAATTCCTAACTTTGCAACTAAATTTCATGTTTGGCCAACAAGAACATGACCACTTGCACAATGTGGTTTTAGGACAGGAGGAGGAATCCAAGAAATCTGGGCATGAATGCACATAGTTTAACTTGGACTTTCTGCCCTGTGTGATCTGTTCAATCAGCTTTTGAGAAAAGGACTATGCTCAAAAAATTCCTTTTGTGCTTGCCAGTGTACTCTGAAATGCTGGAATGAGAAGTACATTTCTGACTTCTTGATTTCACATAATAAAGGTATTGAAAAGCAAACAATTTTTGGCCATGGAACCTTAGCAGTCAGGAACACAATACTGCACTGTTACAGAAGGGATGCTCCAGGAGATAAAAAGAAAATTCACTTTCACAGGGAAATTCATCAAATCATCACCAGCGTCAGGTCACAAATTCTCTCATCTGTGCTTTTCAGGGTTATCTCACCAAGACTGACTTTTCTAAACAAATTACTTTTATGACTCTGCCATGGCAGGGGGTTTGGAACTAAATGATCTTTCAGGTCCCTTCCAACCTAAACCATCCTGTAATTGCCAATTTTCATGAAGATGGATGCTGTATACGCACTACAAAGATCACCCTGAGAAACGATAAAAAAAACCCTCCTCAGTTTTAAAAGACTGGGAGTACCAGACAAGCAGCTTCCTTCCTTTTTCTGGCAGACAAGATGTTCGTTGTTCAAGCCCTGCAAACCCAACCTCAGACAGGAAAAGCAGCAGCTCAGCTCTGATGCCACAGTGTCACCCACCTGGGGACACCCGCGCGGGACGTTCTGGGAGCACATCACCCTGTGGGCACACACAGACACAGACACACAGCCCCACAAATCCTGCTCAAATGTCACACAGGAATACATTCCCTCTAAGGCTGGAAGTGCCTATTTTTAGCTGTTAGCAAGAAAGCCAAGTGGTTTTTCCAAATCCTCCTCCTCTGTGAACAAAACATTGGGGTTTGAGCTGGGTTTCCCTTGCAACAAGGAGAACAAAGGGTTTTTTCAATTGTGGAATCATCAGCTTTAACCAAGTCTGCCACTGAAAATACAAGTGGCCTTAGAGAAGGGATTCGGGAATAATGATTTAGTTGGCATGTCACAGTAAAATTAGGAATTTAAGGACTTTGGAATAACCCCACAACCTGGATACATAGGGACTGACAGCCAAGCAGCAGTGAAGTCACCATGGTGCCTCCTTAATGTTCAGGATTTCCCTCTCTCCCTCTTCCTGCCACACACTTCCCAGTGAAAAACTCAGGTCTCAGCAGCACAGGCAATAAACAATTCAGCGAAGGCAAAAACAGAAGGAGGAAGAAATATTCAAGCATGGCCAATTCCTTCCAAGATGGGTAAACACATTTCTAGTTGAACAGACTCCAGTAAAAGCCTCCACCTGCAATAAAAGAGGATTATAGCAGACAGCAGCACAGCCGTGTTTCCACACAGCCTGAGCACCTTCAAACCTGGCCACACTTTCCAAACACCACAAAATATTCCCTCGGGCCCACAGAACTTTGCTCTACAATTTCAAAGCCTTAAGATGCCAAGGAAAGAAGAAAACCTGAGGGTCAAATTGAGAATATGGGCTGGTTGTGTAGAGAGGTTTTCTACTGAGGTCACGAGGTTTTCTGTCACTTCTGACCTACAGTCTTAAGTGCACACTGACAAATAAATGATAATAAAGAGACCACCTAGGCAGGCCTTGTGCTCATGTCCCTTGTCAGGGGTCACACTGGAACCAGCAGCACTGCACCAGTTCCATCTTCACCAAGTTAAGCCCATTATAACCCGCTGAGTTTCCTTAAATAGCTTTTATTCAGCAGGGTGCTCCTGCCCCCTGCACACCACGGGGCCTCCAAAAGCTCTCTGCATGTTCTACTTCTACAGCACCGTCTGTTTCGTCCAAGTTCTCAAAATACAGGCTTGCACAAAAAGTTTTTATGGCTGCCCCACTCTCAGAAATCTATCGGCACAAAGTTCGAGATCTAAATTGTTGCATAATACAGCAAATAAATTCCCCAGGACACCTCATCAACTCAGCCCCAGCCTCCAGTGGGCCTCTCCATGGGTAATACTTTGACAATTTGGCTCGAGGTGATCGGGAACAATTTCCTCAGAAGCACCAAAAGGACCAGAATCTTAGTTTGAGAGAACACAATTAAAACTGATTTCACTTAATGAACTAAGCTCCTTTCTCAAGAACACATTGCCACTGTTTTTCTTCTCCTGAGGCTTTTGTCCTCTAATTTAAGAAAACAAAAAACTCCCAATAAATACAGGACCCAGAAAAGCAGAGCACATATTTTTCTTTTCAAGTTTTCATACATATAGTTTAATCTTATTTGCTCTTATCTGACTAAGAGTAAGGTCCTTTCAGGGACATCTGTGGCCAAATAAACGCAGAACAGTCTCATATCTGAACTGTAACACCCAGTGTCCACTGGCACATAGAAAACCCAGTTAAAGACAACCACAGCCAGACGAAGACAAGCTCCTGTTTTGTTTCAGGAATCACGGATCCAAAAGCACGACTTAGAGCGTGATGCACTGACAAAGACACTTCAAACAGGCAAAACAAGCAGCAGAAAAGCCTGACAGCCCTGGCTGCGCCCAGCATACCAACCGAGGCACACAGAAATTGTTTTGAATTCACCCTGGCAAAATCCTTCACCACGGCCAAGGCACAACACAAGGGCTGTGCGAACGGATCCCACCTCCGGGCCGTCAGCGTCTCTTAATTCAGCGGTTGAATTTATTTAATTTCGCGTTTTCAGCCCGCCGAGCCCTCACTGCACCCGGCGGGCACCGATCCCCCCGCCGCGGGCCGGCGAACAAAAGGCCGGGAGGGCCGGGACCGGGAGAGCGAGGGCCGGGGGCGGCAGGGAAAGGGAAGCAAGGAAGGGACCGGCAGCGCTTCCCGCAGCCCCCGGGGCTCCCCACGCACCGGCAGCTCCACGGCGGGGCCGACACCGCCCGGCGGCTCCGCGGAGTCACGAACCCCCCAACACCGAGCGGCACCGGGGACCGTGCGGGCTGAGGGGGGCGGCCCGAGGAGAGGCCGCGGCCGGGGAGTATGAGGCGGCCCCTCACCTCTTCCATCTCGCGGGCCATGTCCTGGAGCTGCTCCTCGTCGTCCAGCAGCGCGCTGAGCTCCTGCAGACTCAGCGCCTCCAGGCGCCGCGCGTCCAGCGCCATCCCGGCCCCGGCCGCGGCCCCGCCGCCGCTCCCGCCCGGCCCCGCACCGGAAGTGCCGCCGCGGGCTCGCCCCGGCCCGGCGGGCACCGCCCTCAGCGCCCCCTGCCGGGGGGGCGTGACGGGCCGTACCACGGGGGCGGCGCGGCGGGAGCGGGGCGCTGCTGGAACGAACCAAGGGGCCCGGCGAGGGGGGGCACGGTGGCTGAGCGAGCCCGGGCTGAGGGGAGACCCTGTGGGGGGGGTGAAGCCTCTGTGAGGGGGTAAAGCCTCTATGAGGGGTCTGTGGGGGCAGCCCCTGTGAGGGGGTGAAGCCCCTGTGAGAGTGAAGCCCCTGTGAGGGGTCTCTGAGGGGGTGAAGCCCCTGTGAGGGGTCTGTGAGGGGATGAAGCCCCTATGAGGGGATGAAGCCCCGCTGAGGGGGGTGAAGCCCCTTTTGGGGTGAAGCCCCAGTGAGGGGTCTGTGAGGGGATGAAGCCTCTGTGAGGGGTCTGTGGGTGAAGCCTCTATGAGGGGATAAAGCCCCTGTGAGGGGTCTGTGAGGGGATGAAGCCCCTGTGAGGGGGTGAAGCCCCTGTGAGGGGTCTGTGAGGGGATGAAGCCCCTGTGAGGGGGTGAAGCCCCTGTGACGGGTCTGTGGGTGAAGCCTCTATGAGGGGATGAAGCCCCCATGAGGGGGTGAAGCCCCTGTGAGGGGATGAAGCCCCTGTGACGGGTCTGTGGGTGAAGCCTCTATGAGGGGATAAAGCCCCTGTGAGGGGTCTGTGAGGGGATGAAGCCCCTGTGAGGGGATGAAGCCCCTGTGAGGGGTCTGTGAGGGGATGAAGCCCCTGTGAGGGGATGAAGCCCCCATGAGGGGGTGAAGCCCCAGTGAGGGATCTGTGGAAGGTGAAGCCCCTCCATGGGCAGAGCCCTGCACAGTGCCAGCTTTGTGCACTGTGCTCACGTGAGGGGCCTCGGAATCCCGAGGGATCAGTCCCTGGGGTTGGAAAAGACCTCTGAGATCATCGAGTGCGGCTCGTGACCGATCACCACCTTCTCCACCAGGCCACAGCCAGTGAGTGCCACGCCGCCCGCCGATGGGGACTCCTTCCCTGGGCAGCCCTTTCCAAGGTTTTATCACCCTTTCAGTTAACAAATTCCTCCTGGTGTCCAGCCTGAGCCTCCCCTGGCCCAGCCTGGGACTGTTCCCTCTCCTCCTGTTCCTGTTCCTTGGGAGCTATAAATTCGGAAGGAAAATCAGTTAGATTTAACTCGCATTTCCTTACCCAGGTTGGGACTTGGCTGGGGTAAATCTCAAAAGCGTGATTGCATTATTGTTCTCAAGCCTAAGCTGAGTACTTACTTAGGTTAAAAATAGCTAAAAATAATATCTGGCCAAGCTTTGGTGCTAGGCCATTTCATCCATCTTGAGCACGTTCTTCTTCAACAGTGAAGGTCAATAAATAATCCATCAAAGATGTGTTTCATTGTAAATTTAAATACTTTTGAAATGCAATGTAGTAAAAACTGCATCAATTAAACCACCATATATTTTGTTCTTCTGATTTTTATCAGTCGTGTCACCAGCACTGGAGTAGGCAGTGTGTGGTAACCCTTAGGAGCAGGAGCTCCCCAATTACTGCTGCTGTTAGCAGAGCTGATAAAGGCAATTATGTCTGGAAACAATTAATTGTGTTAAAAGAGCCTAAGTTATATGCATCACTTGGCATGCAGCACCTTCCTGGCCTGCTTTTGTCCCTCCGTGGGTGTGTGTATTATTTCCGTGTGTATAACTCTGGTGAGAGAGCCAAAAGGAGCCAGGAGCCAAGGGAGCAGGGGAGGGAATGGCCACGTGGTCCTTGTCCTTCGGAGTTGATATTTTCGATCTAACTGGGGGGAAAAAAAATCCATATAGTGACGGAATGCAATTCTGATGGAATGATGTTGCAGTCACACTCAGGAAGTGACCCAGCAGTTCCTGGCAGGACACTGCAATGACGTGACAGCTTTATGGTTGTTCTTTTGTCCTGTAACTAAACTCGGCTCCCCACACCTCCCACCCTCCTGAAAACCTTCTTTGTCATTATTTTCCACAGGGAATAACGACCAGCAAGGTGACCTTCCTCCAGCTAGAGGAAGCCTTCCAGCTCTTTTGGCAGCTCGAGCAGATCCAAGGGTGCGCTCAGAGGGAGGTGAGGGCGTGATGTTTGCACAGCAGGAAGCTGAGCCGAGGGTGGGGAGAAGGTGTTCAGTGATACAGGCATGTCCCAGTATCACAGCACCAGCACACCTGCCTGCTGCAGGTATGTGCTCTGTGCCAGGTGAGTCAGCAGCCGTGCCCTGGGCACTGGCAGGGGTTTGCACAGTCACCACAGCCCTGCCTTGCTCTTTAAAACCAGCAGATAGTCGCCCTGCCAACACCATTCCACCTAGCCTGTATTTGTACGTGCCCATCAAACAGAATTACAGCCACGGGTTAAACCTGCTGTAAATCTGCACATGCAAACACACGTATAGATATACACACATGCAAACAGAGGAATTAGCTGAGGGATTAGACAAAGCCCTTTCTTCCCAAGAATATTGGTAATTTCAACTTCATACCATAACTAAATAAATGGTTTGGGGGGAGTGTGGTTCAGAAGAGTCTGACTCAGCTTCAAGTTGTAAATCTAGTTCTACCACTGCCTTGCTGTGTGATCATGAGTGGAGTTCTCAGATTCCCTCAACCATGGTGGCTTTTGCTGAAAAAGTGGGATAATAAGAACTGTTCAGTCACAGGTAAGAACATAACTAATCTGTGCTCAAGTACAACATACATTGAAAATACTGCTTCTCCCTGGGTGGATAATTTGGGTTCTGGTGATGGTGGAGAGGAGTTTGCATTAAACATCTGGGTTGCTTTGGAGTACTTTGGTTGGCACCTGCATGTAATTGAGTTCTCCAGTTGTCCAGAAAAGCAGCTGAGGCTGAGACACAAGATAGAAGTCAACTGTTTTTGTATAATTATATTTTCTATTGGATGGGTAGGAGGGTGCCTTTCTGTTCTGCAGTCTTCATGGAAGATAAAGGTTTTGTGACAGCAAATCGCTGGGACAGGATATGAAGGATTGCAGATAAACCAGAATTTTGGCTACAGGGTTTATAAAATATTGCAGTGCTGCAGGCTGGGACTTATCATCTCCCCAGGCTGGGTTCCTATTTGCCTTTGCTGAAATCCTTTTGAAGGGTGACAGCAATTGAGTGCATAAGAACTGTAAGCAGGCAAAGTACAGAAGTCAGGATTTCTTATTACAGGAGAAATGGAATAAAAATTTGTGAAGATTACAGGGGAAACCATGTCATGGTGAATAAGAAGTCAGGCTCCAATCTTGGGGAGAACTGGCATCCAGACTGGTTTAGATAAGATGTTAGATTTTTTTTTTTCCCTATTTAAACTTGATCTTGAATTTCCTCCTGTTACCTTATATCCTTTTACGGTCAGTAGCACTGCCCTAATGCATATTTATTAGATTTAGACATATTTTGCAAGTCACCTTCATGTCTTATTTTCTTTTCCTGGACAAACAGGTTGGTTATGTACACATTGAATTTGCAAATCTCATCTCTGGTGTACATTAACCCCTATTAGTCTGGTTGCTCAATGTGCAGATAAGTTTTGGGGCTTATTTGCAATTTAACTTCCTTCTGTATATTAAGCACAGCCCATACTTCTGTTTAGTTTTCACAACCCAGATTCCTTCACAGACATGACCTGCATATTCAGCACCCTGGCAGAGAAACAGCTGTTCTATTTGAGAGATCAGTGGCCCTGCTGTCTGAGAGAGAGCAGGAATTAGGTGTTTGTAAGGTACTCCTTCCTTTCAGGGAGCTGCAGGTGTCAGAAGAGCAGCAGGTTTATTTACCTGCACTTATTTTCTTTGCCCTAAGCTCACAGTGGAACTGCAATAGAAGAGGCAAATTTTATTTTTTCTCCCCAGACTAAACCACATCTCTCAACCCAAACTAGAAGCACTTTCTGTTTGACCTGCTGAAGGCCTAGAAAGTGCAGCCACTGAAACACACACACAGCTGGTTATTGAGGCAGAGGTTGGTGTGGCAGGAGACAAGTTGTTGGAATAAACACAGCTGTGTTTTTTCCATCAGTGTGCTCATTTACTGGGTCAGTCAGCCACAGACCCTGGCTGTGCAAAGGTACAGGGTAAATCCCTGTCCCTGGGGAAGCACTGGGACTGTAGGATCCACTCTCAAATTTCACCTTGGATGGGGTTCACTGTTATTTAAATCAAATAAAGCTGTGGTTATACCTATTACAGGGAATGGTTAGAGCTTATTAATAGTGAGGCAAACAACCTGCCATGGGATATACAGTCAACTTTGCAATCGGTTGTGCTTTCAAATGCTTAATTGCTTACAGTTCTGCCAGGACAGTCTTCAGTGCCCCTGGGTTAAGGTTTCAGATGAGCCCCTCTGAGTTCCCTGTGAGGACTTTTCCCTTTGAAGAAAAGGAACTTTTTATCTCCATCACTCTGAGAAGCTCTCAATCTGATTTTGTTCACGTTCCCAACTCTGGGCAAAGCCACAGCCACACAATTCTACAGTCCAGGGTTTCAGAGGGAACAGTGGCCTTGTTTCCAGGAGAACAGCCTGAAACAGACTGCCCACAGGCAGCCAGGCCCGAGGGATTGGGCAGCTCCAGGAAGCAGCTCGTGTTCCAGCACTGGAGCAGTTCCCACTGCTGCTCTGGGTGAAGCACAGCTTTCTTTACTGCCAGGCTCAGCCTGGCTAATGGGCACAGCTGACCCTGATTTTCACTTCAAAAAGAAGCCATAGTTGGAATGATTTAAAAAACAGGATTTTCTATACAGTCCCAGGGTTTGTGCAGGCAAAAAGATCTGCATTAGATTAGATCTGCTGGATCTCTGGTGGTGTGTGGAGCTCCCACACATCTTCAGGGCATAAGAAAACCCTCACAGCTTTAGCACACAAGCAGTGCCACTTGTCACATGCCAACAGCAGAATAAAAGGGCCTGTTCAAGCCACAAAATGAGAGGCTCAGGGGAAAAG